CCACCCCAGAATGTTTTAATAGGCAGGTTTAATTTGCTAAAGCAGGGGTATCAAGTTAATCTGGATCAAGTCCATGGACCCCCCTCTCCCTTGGAAGTGAGCCAAATCTGGGGTCATGGTGCCTGCTCTGGCCAGTCTGGTATATAAGCCACGCACAGTGCTCACTCCATCTGGTCCATGGCAATTGTCGGGCTGGCCAGCGTAGGCACTGGATCTGGCATGCAGGGGATGCACAGATCGCCTCCCTGCTGTGTGCCAGATCCATTACCTGCTGTGGCCGGTCCACGACTGTGCCACAGGTGGTGTGCTCCACGGCTGCACTGCACATGGTTCATGTCCCAGACCGGCAGGGGCAGGTGTTGGATCTGGCATGTAAGGGAGGTCCCAGACTGACCCTGTGTGAGTGCCAGCAGGGACCAACAATGGGAGCTGAATGATATGGCTTTTTGGGCCAAATCCAGTCCACGGGCTGTATTTTTGATGCCCCTATGCTAAAGAAAGAACTTTTGTATGTTCATTTGTGTAGCCCTTGTTCAAACAAAACTTGCTTTTCTAGGAAGCTAGAGGGCACTACAGGAGCTGAAAATGAAATAAATCTGGGAATGAAAAAAATGTAGGTTCTGCCAACAGTAATATGTAGCTTTGGAGACTTGACCATCGTAGCAGGGATTTTTGTGTAAGTTCCTGTGGAGGGATTACCAAGGCTAGCTGGGCTCTCACAAGATAAAGGGGATATAACCCTATTTTCTGCTATGATCTTTGACAGGGATCATCCACACTGGTGCCACCTATGCTCTGCCCCATGCAGGATAGGTTTTTCAAGCCACATTCTGTGCTCCAGGAGTGAGATGCACAGGTCAGTGAGGGATATGGAGATCAGAATAATTGATGTCTCAGAAGGCAGCCTAGTATGAAATCGGCAGCATTTGTTTTTCACTTCTGCCTTGTGCAGTATTTCCCCAGAGTCCAACATTGACAAGTCATTTGATCATTGCCTGTCTGGCTGAACAGATGGAGAATGTGAAGAGTGGAGCATTGTGGGAATTGCGATCACCCAGCTGAAAGTAGAACCACCACTACAAGCTGACATTCCCTCTCCTCATCCTTTGCTTGAAGACATGAACCATTTTTAACCCCTCCTTGACCGAGTTGCTTTCTAACATGAGGCTACTGCAGCTCCCTAATTAATACAAGAGGTTACCTTGACCAGCACCAGCTCTCCTCATTATCTCAGGACATTTATTCTGCCACAGTGGCTCCAGCTAATGAACTCTTTGCAGCTGGTGCCTTGACGTAAATTCTGCTAAAAAAAAAGAAAGTCCTAATGTCTGTACTTCAGAAAGAAATAGCTCTCTCCAGTAAATGGTCCTTTCCACCACAGGGCCTTGGGAGAAAAGAGAGACTCTATCTTCCCATACTTGGGGTTGGGTCAACCTGCTGGCTGTACACATGACACTTAGCCATGTGCATCAAGTACTTCTGTGAAGGAAGCTTCCAGCAAGGCCAGTGAGATGACAGGGGACATGTCTACATGTGCACTTTAATGTGCAGTAGCCTATTCTACTGCTCATTAATGTGGTGTGAAAAAAAATGCTAATATGCTAATGTGCAGTAGAATGAGTATTGCTCATAAAGCGTCGCCTAAAAAGCATGCGCTTTGGCTTAGCGCAGCCTAATGCACATTTATTTATTACTTCATATTGGAGGGCACTTTTACATGTGCTCTGGAGGAAGTGGGGTGGCACTTTAATTAGAGTGGCTCCGAGAGCTGCTCTAAATAAAGCGCCTCAGCGTCCCGTGTAGCAGCGTCTCTGCACTTCAAAGTGTGGCAGGGGTGCTTGAACTAAAGCATTAGGAAAAACACATTAATGCACATGTAGCAGTGCCCAGGAAGTAACAACTGACCTTCAGTGTATTAGCTGAAGAGACTCAGGGTATAACTGCTCTACGCTCAGTGCCATATAAACACTGAGAGGTATAAAACACTGTGATTTGGGGTGAAATCCTCTGCTTCGAAGAAAACCAATCGTATGGCCTGAAATGGTCCAGGTTTCGCATTGTTTGTTATGTAACTACTTAACTAAAGTTTATTCAGCCAAGAGCTGCTCTATTTAGACAAATACAGTGAGGAATTATAGTAACATGTGGCTGCCTTACTGTAACCTCAGTAGAAGAATTCTCCAAGGAGCTTGGAGAAAAAACAGGACCTCAAAACCACATGGGCAAATCCAAGCAGGAACGCTAAACCCTGGATTATTGATCACAATGTGTGGAATTCTTTTTCATTCTTAATTAAATTGGGTCCCAAGCAGCTATCTGACCAGCATCTCTGCCAGGAGACAAGTGTCCATAACATCCCCTCTCTGGGAATTTATTTTTGTATGTGCAGGCCCATACAATAGAGAACTTACATGGGCAGGTTTACACATGCATGCACATTAATGTGCATGTGCATACCACGCTTGCACACATTTTCCATTTTAGAGCAAGTTACTGCATCCTCTGACTTTGAGTCTCACATTCTAGCACCTTTCAGTATTTTACCAAGTAAAACATAAATGCTGTGTTAGGCACTAAAGAGCTGCATGGCTCCATCCTGAACCGATATAAATTGGCACAACTCCACTGATGTTGATGGAGTCATGCCAGTTTATGGGATCCTGAGGGGATGGGACATAGTGTATGCTCCTAGAGCAACATGGTCCACTTAAAATTCATAGCCCTGCTGCTTGGGTGCTCTGTTTCTGATGATTAGGACAGGAGTGGGGAGGGTCAGGGAAAATATGGTTTTAAGCCACCTTTGTGTTGTTGCTGTTCCTGGACAGCTGGGAGCCTGCCTGGTTGTCCAAGAATTGAAGCAGCTAAGAAGTCTTGGGAAGCAGAGAAGTGTCTTAATACTCTGGCAGTGTCTTACCAGTCCACCCTCCCCTTCCTCTTGCCAGCCTCCTCATAGCAGGCCTGAATCCTTACTCTGGCCAAGGAGGCCATCTGCACAGAGAGGCTTTCTTCGGGACCATTTTCCACCCCCATTTAGGCTACCAGAGAGGCATTTAGGAACCTGAGCATACCACTGCGCTAAGGGAAGCACCTGGTCACAGGTTAAGCTGTGACTTAACCCTCTTACACGTGCCATGAGATGACAAGCTTGCCTGCCTTTACAGCCTCTCTTGGCAGGGATCTGGGTGGCAGTTCCCCATTTCTCACATGGCAATATATGCCAAGGTTGGCACCTGTAACCTTTTTCTTCCAGGGCTCTGTGACCAGTGGGTTCATTCAGAAGCAGCTGGTTTTGAAGGCAAAAAGCAGGGTAAATTTATATCTTGTAGACCTACTAAATCAGGATGAATTTTATGTCGTTTGTAATTTGATACTGTGAAAAGGACGTGCAGCGCAGAGAGGTAGTTAGCCATGTTAATCTGAAGGCAGGCAGAAGGCAAAATATTATTTATTTTAGAGAGATAAAACTTTCAGAGTTACCCCTAGGGCAGTTGGGTCTTACCTGTTGTTTTTGCTTTAATAGTACTGAGCGAGTTTCATTCAGTCCAGAGACTCCTACTTCCAGGCAGGGAGTGGCAGATGCCTATGTAACCTTTTTAGTGTGTAAAAACTTGTTGCCAGCTTGGTGCTGCCCACTTAACCCCCTTTGACTCCTAGGCCAGGCTCTTTAAGATTCAAATTCCCTTTTGAGGCTAGTTTTGGGCCTGGGAAGAATAAACCTTGCTTGCTGCACTGGAGCCAGTCTGGGTCTATCACCAATTGTTTCCTTCCCCATTGTTCCCTCGAGGACCCTGCTACCCAGCACTATCTCTGGCTGTATCTTACCATCCTCATTACTTCCTTTCCTGTTTGTTCCATACCCAGCAGCCTCATTTGATTTAACTCTTTGCAGCTCTATGGGATAATATCAGGCAGAGAAATCAAAATGCACACAATCATAAAAAAACCCAGGTAATCGCCACCTATGTAGTAGGATTGCAGTGTCACTGTAGTCTAATAGTTTTCAGAAGTCAATATCTGTCACCCAGCTCTGCACTTATATTATGTCCCTCCCTCAGCTCGGACAAAGCACACCGGCACAGGGAGCCAGCATTGTGCCTGCTACATTCTAGGTGCTCAGATTTCCTTGGACCCAACAGGGACAATTGTTTATGAGAAAGCATTGGATTTCATTGATATTCACAACATGTAGAGATGTCTCCATAGTGCTCAGGAAGTGACAGCTAAGCTCGGAGAGATCCACAAGAGCTTTTTAATGACAGGAATGGGGCAATTAGAAAACTGTCTTAAAAGTACCATCAGGGCAGCCTCTCTTCTAGGTTTCCCAGCACAGCTGCCTGGGGTGTCGGGGCTTGCAGCGATCTTTGTGCAAGGAGAGCCTCTGGGAAGCCCAAGCAATGGCCAGGGGGTTGAGTGGGTTTGGGGGTCCTTCCATGAAGAGCACAAAGCAGGATCAGGTCCCTGCATTCTCTATATTTGGGGGCATTGTACAATAGTGAATACATAGTACAGTGCTTACCAAATAACTGTAATAAATATAAATGTTGGGCCAGGCTGAACTGGCAGTGTCTCCTGTGGGGAGGAAGGTTGTGTTCAGGGCCTCTGTGCTTGGGGGTATTTTAAATAAACTAACCATCTCTGATCTCTCCTTGGCTGCAGGTACTGGGAGGAATTTCACACATGTGCTATGACAGCCCTCTGGGATTGCCAGAAGGAGGCAGTCTCTATCTGGGAGATGTTGAAAAAAGAGTCTAGAAAAATCAAATTTCAAGGCAGCTTATTCGATCTCTGCAGCCCCAGTGGCTCCAGGAGCTTCAGCTTGACAAACATTTCCAATTTATCTGTCTTAAGCATCTCTCTGATGGTCATTTGGCTTAATTTATAAATGGAGTGGCTCTGCAAGTACCAGCGCTGAGAGGGGATCATCACTGCGCGTTGTAAGTGTCTCACAGATCATAAGTGTAATACTTCCAAACCTTAGAGAAATATCGTGTATGGTACCTGTTGACCACTTGGTTTTCTTATCCCATGTATAAGCCTCAGAAGATCTTGGCTGCATCCCCTCAGTTTTACTATCTCTGTGTAACTTAAGCGAATCAAAAACACTTTGCTCTGACTAGATTTCATCCAGCTGATGGTGCATGTGCGTCTTAGCTGATACGATGAGAACTCTGGGCCTGCAGACTGGAGGCCAAAAGATTGGGGGAGAAGTGGATTAACCCTGGATTCTTCTACAGTCTTCTTTCTGTGCATTTTCTGGAAGTAAATCTGTCTGTTCTGCCAGACCATGCCTTTGATGATGATGGGTGGGAGGAAGCAAATCTGAAGTGCTCTGAGGTGCAAAGGAAATCTCTGAACCTGATGCAGGTAGGAAGGTCTCCAGGTCATTTTCAGTGGTGGACTCTGCTGTTCTGGGGCTGGTGAAGGCTGCTCTGTGGAACAATCACAGGTAGAGATCTGTTTCTATGGGGTGGGCTGGCTTAGTGCAAAGTGAGATTTCTAATATTCCTTTTGCGTTAAACATTTCCTGAAAGATTCCTGTGAGCAACATTGAGGCAACAGCCTGTAATTCAAGAATATTAAACAGCTTCTTCTTGTGTTGTGTACCTGTCAAGTTGATGTCATTTGTCCTGCTCTCCTGACTGATGGCACAGTCACTCTACATCTCTTCCTGCAGCCTAGAGTTGTTCATCCCACAGCTTCAGTGCTGCCATAGAATATAGTGGTAAAATATACTAGGAGACTTGCAAGTGACTTCACAGAATCATAGAAAAGTAGAGTTGAAAGGGACCTAAGGAGGCCACTTAGTCCAATCCCCAACTTCAGGATATATTGAAAACTTCAGTGGTATTTGTCAGTGACCTAACTGGTAGGGCTGTGCGAAATGTTGCCACCAGTTTTGTTTTGATGAGGTTGAAACAGCAAAATTGAAACGAAGCAGATATGGTTGAAACAGCCTCAAAATGAAACGAGGTAGGTTGAAATGTTGCGCCGTTTCTCCCATAGACTATAATGGGGAAGGTTGAAACAGCCTATAACTTTGTCATTTCTGGCCAGATTTGGATAAAACTTGTAGAAATGGTAGCTGCTTCTGGGGGCATAATGCATGCCAAAATTCAAGAAGATAGGTGCAGAGGGTTCAGAGAAACTGCACCCCAAAGTCTTGAGAGCCAAACTTGTGTCATGTGTATGTGTTAAGCCACAGTGGGGTCAAAACTACAGGCATGCTAGCCCCTGCTAAGGACACAAAGCCTACCATGTTTCAAGGAAGTAGGTGCATGGCATTCGGAGAAACTGCACCCTAAAATCCTGAAAGCAAAACTCATGTCACATGTATGTGTTAAGCCACACCAGGATCAAAAACTGCAGGCTTGCTAGCCCCTGCTGAGGCCACAAAGCCTGCTAAGTTTCAAGGAGATAAGTAGAGGGGTTTGGGGGGAACTGCACCTCAAGCTGCAAATAAGCAAAACTCATGACATGGGTGACACTGTGTGTGTTAAGGCGCAGCAGGGTGGAAGCTGCAGGCCTGCTAGCCCCTGTTGAGGCCGCGAAGCCTGCCAGCTGTCGAGGAGATCGGTGCAGGGGTTCTGGGTTCTGGGCCTCTGCACCTCTGGCTGCTGACAGGCAACACTCATGTCATGGGTGCTTGTACAACTGTATCTGTCTTGGGGCACAGGGGAGGGGAAACTACTGCAGGCCTGGCTGCTAGGCTTTGCTGCGGCCACTAAGTCCACCAGCTGTCGAAGAGATCAGTGCAGGGGAGTTCTGGGGCCCTGCACCCCTAGCTGCTGACAGGCAAAACTCATGATATGGGTGCTTGTGCAACTGCTGCCTTTCATCAGGCAGCAGGACTGAAGATCCCCCATCACTTGCCACCACAGACCTGGGGGTAATAATTGACCACAGTATGAACATGAGCTGGCAGCGCGATGCTGTGGCCAGCAGGGCCAACAATATGCTGACATGCATCTATTGATGCATCTCCAGCAAAACCATTGCAAAGAAGTGATTCTCCTGCTCTCCTCAGCTCGTCTCAGCACTGGTGAGACCACAGCTGGAGTACTGTGTCCAGTTCTGGGCTCTGCACCTTAACAAGGACATGGTAAAGCTTGAGAGAGTCCAGAGAAGGGCTACCCATATGATCAGAGGCTTGCATGGCAAGCCATACAAAGAAAGGCTGAGGAACCTGGGACTCTTCAGCCTGAAGAAGAGAAGGCTGAGAGGGGACTTGGTAGCAGCTTACCGCTACATCTGAAGTGTACATCTAGGGCTCGGTGAACAACTGTTCACCAGGGCACCCTTGGGAAAAACTAGGAGTAATGGTCACAGGCTGGACACCCTAGTTGTGAACTAGTTTTTCCTAATATTGAGCCTGAAACGGGTCTGAAGCAATCTTCCAGCAGTGTATGACCTGCACCCCAAATGCTTGAAAGCAAAGCTCATGTCACGTGTAAATGTTAAGCCACAGTGGGGTCAAAACTGTAGGGGTAGTGGCCCCTGCTGAGGCCACAAAGCCTGCCAAGTTTCAAGGAGATATGTGCAGGGTTGTGGGGGGAACTGCACCTCCAGCTACAGACAAGCAAAATTTGTGACATGGGTGACACTGTGTGTTAAGGCACAGCAGGGTGAAAGCTGCAGGCCTGCTAGCCCCTGCTGAGGCCACGAAGCCTGCCAGCTGTTGAGCAGATCGGTGCAGGGGTTCTGGGGCTCTGCACCCCTAGCTGCTGACAGACAAAACTAGTGACATAGGTGCTTGTGCAACTGTCTCTGTCTTTGGGCAGTTGATTGTCTGTATTGATTATTTCCTCCCCTTAGTCTGTGGTTTTGTAGGTGTTCATCCATACTCGTTAACTCGTTATGTAGTAGCTAGGTACTGTGTATTGAGCTGGTACCTGAGTGAATCATGATTAATTGGTAACTGGTAACACAGTAGCTTAGCAGCCAGGCCTGCAGTAGTGTCTTCCCTGTCCCGGTGCCCAAGACAGACACAGTTGCACAAGCACCCATGTCACAAGTTTCGCTTATCCACAGCTTGAGGTGCAGTTTCCCCCAAAACCCTGCACCGATCTCCTTGAAACTTGGCAGGCTTTGTGGCCTCAGCAGTGGTCACCACCCCTGCAGTTTTCAGCCCACTGTGGCTTAACACTTACACATGACTTGAGTTTAGCTTTCAAGAATTTGGGGTGCAGTTCCCCCCAAACCCCTATACCAATCTTCTTGAAACTTGGCAGGCTTTGTGGCCTCCACAGGGGCTAGCATGCCTGCAGGTTTGACCCCACTGTGTCTTAACACATACATGTGACACAAGTTTTGCTTTCAGAATTTTGGGGTGCAGTTTCTCTGAACCCCTACACCTATCACCTTGAAACTTGGCAGGCTTTGTTGCCTCAGTAGGGGCTACCGTCCCTGCAGTTTTGATCCCACTGTGGCCTAACACATACATGTGACATGAGTTTTGCTCTCAAGATTTTGGGGTGTAGTTTCTCTGAACCCCCTGCACCTATCTTCATGAAACATGGTACACATCATGCTCTCAGAAGTGGCTACCATTTCTGCAAGTTTAAACAAAATCTGGCTGGAAATTACACAGTTATAGGCTGTTTCATCCTTCCCCATTATAGCCTATGGGTGAAATGTCAAAAGAGCAAAACATTTTGACGGAACGAAACAAAACAGCTGTTTTGACTCAAAACAAAAGTCGAAATGAAACACTGTTCTGTCAAAACGTCGATCAAAATGGAACGCTTCCATTTTGGACAGCCAACTGGCCCTTTTTAGCTGAAGGACGCTAATGACAGTCTCCTGGAGGGGATGGAGGTCCTGTCTTGCCAAGTATGGACATGGAAGGGGATGTCTGCAGCCTTCCTTCTCCTCACTCATCATGGTGTTTCAAGGGGAACATAGGAGCTGCTAGACTGGATCAGATCTGAGGTTCATTTAAGCCAGTGTCCTGCCTTTGACTGGCCAGTCCCAACTGCTATAGATAGAGGAGTAAGAAACCTTGCCTAGATACATCTGGGATAGTTTGCTGCCATCAAGGTCTTACCCTGATTCCTAACAGCAGGAGACTGACTGGTTCAGGATCTGAAGAAGGGAGTTCCATATCCCTTCCAAAATACCTAATAGAATAGTTCTGGCCAAACCCTTGTGGCAGTAACAAGACTGCCAAGAAAATTCCTGAGATCAAGTTCATGATTTTGACTGTTTCAGGCACTGCACGGAAAGATTTCCTTTCATCCAGTTCAAATTTGCCATCTTCTAGCTCTGTTCAATGTCTTTCCCTGTCCTGTTTGTTTTTCCTTTGCTGTAAGACAGGAAGAACAGATAGACAGTCGTATAGCACAAAAAGGGAGCGAGAGGTCAAAATGTAAAATATCTGATGCATACGTACAAATGAGAAAAGTATGCAGAATGCATTTGGGTGAAGAAAGATGAAAGACATGGCACCAATATAATGGTAGGGTTTTATTTTAGGCCACCTAGTCAGGAAAAGGAGGTGGATGAGGCACTCTTTAAGCAGGTGACAAATCTACCCAAAAGTGATGAGATGGTACTGATGGGAGACATCAGTTTTCTGGACATCTGCTGGAAGAACAATGCAGTCAAACAAAATGTCAAGCTGGTTCCTAACTTGTGTGGAGGACAACGGTCTGTTCCAGAAAGTGGAGCATTTAACTAGGGGATTATCTATATTGGATCTTGTCCTGACCAGCAGGGGAGAACTGGTGGAGGTCGTGAAGGTGATGGGTAACTTGGGAGGAAGTGACCACGATGCAACAGAATTCCAGATCATGAGATGGGGAAAACAGGACGTCAGCAAAATTAGGACACAAGATTTCAAATAGGTGGATTTCATCTGACTCAAAGAGCTAATAGGCATGGCATCATGGGAGGATAGATTGAAGGATAAAGGCACCCAGGAGGACTGGGAGTTTCTAAGAGGCACAGTACTGGAAGCCCAACAAGAAACTGCCCCAACATAATAGAAGCACAAGAAGAATGGCAAGAGATCAATGGCTGCACAAAGAGGTCCTGAAATGCCTCAAATGAAGAAGGAAAGCATGTAGGCAATGGAAGAATGGGCCAGGTCACTATGGATGTGTAACAGGAAATAGCAAGAACCTGCAGGAGCAAAATGAGGAAGGCAAAGATAAAGAACAAGCTGCACCTGGCAAAGGAGGTTAAGGGCAGCAAAAAGGGGTTCTATAAGTATGTTGACCAGAAAAGGGCCAAGGAAGATTTGAGTCCTCTGTTAACAAGCCAGGGGGACCTTGTAAATGAAAATACAAAGAAGCTAGAGCTATCAACAGCTACTTTGTTTCAGCCTTCACAAAAATTTTAAGCTGCTAGACACCTAATAGGGATTATCTCGATAAGGAAGGGGGCAAGCTGAGGGAGGAGGTAACAAAAGAAGGTCAGAGAGCTTTTGCTGGGTCTGAGTGAATTCAAGTCAGCAGGGCCAGATGAGCTTCATCTAAGGGTCCTGAAGGCATTGGCAGAGGAGATCTCAGAGTCCTTGGCAATGATTTTCATAAAGTCATGGGAGAAAAGCCAGGTACTAGAGGACAGGAAAAAGGCCAGTGTAGTGCCCCTCTTTAAAAAAGGC